GGCTTGTGAAGGCTACCAAATTTCTCATTTTCTATTAAATGTGGTCTCAAACAAGCTTTTCCATTCCAAACGTGGGCGGCTCCGCAGAACCCTAATCCACAGTAAGCTCTTAAACCTTCGGCCGCCGCAGCTTTCTTCTTCTTCTTTTTCTTCCCCGTGCTGCGCTGTTTTGGTAAATTTGGTTCTTGCAAGGAAACAAATAAAGCACATGTGCCATGAGGTAAGAACCAAGAATATTTCAATTTTTTTTTGAATTAGAGTAAATTGATTTTTTCATTTGATTAATCCTGTCCAGGTTTGAAATGGATAGGGTTTGGCAATGTTTAAGAATCCATGGCCAGGATAGTGCTGAGATTCATGGGTGTTATGTAATCAGTTGAGCCCGTCAGGATTTGTTGCAAGAGATCGTCTTGGAGAGGCAAGTGCTTGTTTATTTTGATGGTATATTGTGGATTGTAGCTTGAGATAATACTGTACAAATAGTTCTTTAATTCAACTATTTCTCGATGCTATGCAGATTCGATGTTCGGATGCTATTCATTGACTTTTCGAAGGGTTTCCTGAGGTACATGTTTTCCGTTTTTGCATTTCCTGGTCGCAATATGGCGACAATGGTGTTGGGCACTTGGTCTAATTTACTGGTTTTTAATAGCTTGGCCTGTTGCATTTGGTGGTTTGATGTTTTTTTGTTGGTTTCCTCTTCTTTCTCATTTTTTGCATCAAATGAAATGCATATTTCAAATTTTGAGATCTTGGTTTACTCGTTGTGTGAGGAAATAATTAGGTTGAATGATTAGTTGCATTATCAATGAAATAATTTGGAATTGTATGTGGATAAGTATCAGTTGAGTTGAAGGTTAGTAATTATGTGACCAATAATATTTCCAGTTCAATGTTCCACTAATCTACCGCTTTCAGCAGTTTTCTTCCTCAAACTTCCTCTATCTTTTCTCCCATTCCTACCTCTCTCATTCTCCTACTTCTGCTTTCTCTCCTCCCCCTCTCGTTGTATCAAAAGATTTTGCTATGTTTCTATCTGTCTCATTTTCTTCCCCTCTTAGATTTGAGTTCTGTTTTGTTAGATTTGCTTTTGATGATTATAAAGGTTTCCTTCTCTTGTGCCTTTTAGATGGTTACATGAATTTTGATTATTGTTTGTATTTTGTTATCACATCATTCTGGGATGCTTAGCTTCCCTTTTTTTTATCTTTTTATTTTATATTTTTTCTTTTTAGTCCATGATTTTTCTTTTTCCTCTCAAATTTTCAACCAAGCATATATGGCCAAAGAAAGCAAAACTGGAGAAGTTGTTGCTTTAAAGAAGATACGCATGGACAATGAAAAAGAAGGGTTGTTGTTATTCTACCCAATTTCTTATTTTCTTAGCTTATGACATTTTAATTTCCTTAGCGGATAAATGGTTATGCCTGCTCTTTTTAGAACACTCATAATTTTTTCTTGTAGTTTCCTGTAACTGCCATGCATGAAATAAAAATTCTAAGGAAGTTGTAGCATGAAAATGTCATTAAACTGAAAGAGATTGTGGCCTCCTGGTACTCATCCTTCTTTTTCAGATCATGAGGTTGATAAGCAAGTGAATCAAGGTAACTAGACGTGCAGAAATTTTCAAGTTTGTGGTTCCTGTTTCTGTAAGAATTCAATGCCCCTGAACTCCCAAATACTGAGATCGAAAATGGTATTTTGTTTTTGAAATGCAGAAGGTAATAGATACAATGGCAGTATTTACATGATTTTTGGGTATATGGACCACAGCTTGACGGGACTTGCTGATTGTCCTGGATTGAGATTTACAATTCAACATATCAATGTATGTGACCTTGGACAAGGAGGATTTACTCATTATAATGAGCATCCATCACTTTTTTTTTGTCAACAAAGCATCCATCACTCAACTTGTTCTAATAATATGTATTTGTTGTGTTATATGAAGTAGCTGCTTACTGGTCTTCACTACTGTCATCTCAATAACGTGCAGATATCAAAGGTTAACTTTTTTATTCTTTTCTAAACATATTATCTAGGATTTTAGGTGTGCATATGATACTATGTGTTTGGTTTTTGGTTTGGCAGGCTCCAGTATGCTCATAGATATAAGGGAAACCTGAAGCTAGCAGATTTTGGACTACCATAATCATTCTCCAATAACCACAGACCATGGATGGTGATTTTCCCTTATAGCTGACCCATGTCTTTGATATTATAACTTAATTTTCAATCAAGAAAATTTACTCTTCTATGTATTGAGCAGACCTTCAGAGTTGCTTCTTGGAGCTACGAAATATGATTCGGCAGTAGACATGTGGTTAGTTGGCTGTATTTCTGCTGAACTTTTGCATGAAAAACAAATCTTACCTAGAAAAAATGAGGTTAGGCATATACCTTGAGTTGTTGTACTCTTTTTTCAGCCTTTTTTTCATTATTTTTTAAGAAAATATCTGTCTTATCTTAATTTTTGAATTATCTTATCTTATTTATCTATCAAGGAATTTTGAAAGAGTTAAGTAGATGGTTTTTCGTCTTTTTCTTACAATTGCTTTTCATGAAATGAACTTGGATGATTGTCATGATTATTTATTAGATTGGTTCAGTTTGTATGCACTAGAAGAAAGGATATGGAGCATTGTTGGCTTTTAGAGCATCCCAAGTTCATATACTTAATAATCTGCCCATGATGAAAGCTTTTTATTTCATTTAACTTTTTTAGCACATCAAAATCTTGCTAAATGATTACAGACTCTGAATGATTACACTTATTCTTCTTGAATGATTTTGAATGCTTTTGACTGAATAAATAGTGTGTACAGACTAGGAATTCATTGGTTATTTATGCTTATGCATTTTATGATTATGTTTCTGATTTTTTGCTGCAGAATGCTGAACTGAGTGTTCATGTGGCTAAACAGTAAAGAGGAAGGAATCTGCTGTCCTGTGTTAGGCATTCATGTCGTTTGATTATGAGTGCAGTTTCATTGGATGTTTTTTAGTTAATGTGTATTATGTAGTTATAGTTGTTAGAGGACTCAAGCACAGAAATTCTGTAATAGCGTTGTTGCCATTTCAGTTTGTATATACCTTACTCTTTTTATATGTATTTATGGATCATGATGTTATGTATTTTTTTTGTATTCCATGCAGTTAGTGACTTTCTCTGAACATATTTTGTTCTATTTGCTTAGATAGATGTTTCTGCTTGAACATTGGTTGAATAATGGTAAGGGTACAATGTGAAAATGGTATATTAGGAGCTCGGGAAGATGTTCTTTCCTAGCTCATGAAGTTGAAACCCACTCAATCGCTGATGAATAGCAGTCACACTATACAAGTGAACATTGATCATATAATTTCTGAAGCATTCTTGATGGGAGAAAAAGACTTTGGGGTTAAGAATCAAGAAATCATATAGAGAAAAAGTTGAAAGTAATGTAAGGCGAGATTATAGAGCTTTCCAAAAATTGATTCTTTATTTGGTTCATTATTTTTGAAATAAGTTCAATTCTTGGACCTCCTTTTTTTTGCACATTGCTTTTTCATTTTTTTTGTGTTCGTCCTAGATTAGATTAATAGTTTAAATATACTTTCAACAGTAATTAATTTATAATCAGTTCCACAATTTAGATCTTAATTTTCTTTTTATGACGTTTGTATAACCTATAAAAGTGTTGGGTATATCATAATTGTTAACGTGTCTAAAAGAAAATGCCTTCTTATATACAAAACAATTAATGTCATTTTTATATACAAAAACAAGTAATGTCATTTTTAATGTGAAGTGCCTTATTGAATTTCACTTTGTGTATTTCAAGCTTCTCTGGCCTCCAAAGACGAAAATTCGTTGAGAAGATTTTGAGTGCCCTGCCCAGTTTCTTTTTTTTTTTTTTGAAGTTTAAGGAAGGGATATTTGAAGTTTAACGACCGTTATACAACTTTCAAAATAAACAAATTCATTCTAATTTTTTGTTTATAATTTTATAAAACAAATCGCGGTCACTTTCACAAAAGTCATATTTTTCCATAAAAGACCAACTCTTTATGACTTTCCTCCATTATAAGAACAAAGTACCCATTTTTCCATAAACAAAGTTATTTATTGGATAAAATAAAAATAAATTCGTTTTTCAATAAAAACACCAGTTCTTTATGACTTTCCTCCATTATAAGAACAGAGTACCCATTTTTTCATAAACAAATTTATTTATCGGATAAAATAAAAATAAATTCATTCTCCAATAAAATACCAGCTCTTTATGACTTTAGAATGAATCATTACAATCTCGCTGTCTCTATCACCATCAACTTTTGACTCCCTACTTCTTCCATCCCACCCAACACCAGAACGAAAAAGATTTCACAAAAGATCTAATCTTGCATGAAATGATCAACTATAAAGCTTTATTAATATGCCAACCTTTTTTTAAAATTAAGAAACAAAATGTATCAATACGAGACAAACAAATACAAAATATCATTTTGTTATTTTAATTAAGATACATATTTAATATACGTAGACAGAGCAAAACTATAATGAAACGAACAAATTTATCTCTCATTTGTATATAATTATTTAGAACTTGGCATAAACAAGTGATTGCAACCCAATAATTTAGGAAAAATTATTGAATTTCACTTTGTGTATTTCAAGCTTCTCTGGCCTCCAAAGACAAAAATTCGCTGACAAAAAAAGACTTGCAGAATACCTATACTAAAAAATATACTTTTCTACATAAATTATTATTTTGATTAGTTCAAAACTGGGCAGGCATCTTATATTTCTATCGCGCGAAGCGCGTTCATGCCTCCTAGTTTGGGGAGAAAGTATAGAAGATTGCATAAGTAGGTAGGCGAGACCCGCACCGCAGCCCAACTGAAATTATGGGCTGAGAATTGCAATAGAATTAGTAGGGTTTTCGATTGTCCGCAAATTTCTTGAATAGCAATCCACCCTTGGAATTTGACCCTTCCCCGAAAAAACAAAGCCCACCCCTCCCCACCCCACCCCACCGACGCCCCCGGCCCCAAGCTGCCCTCTAAAACCCTCGCTTTTCCGGCTCCACCATTCCATTCCCCTCTCTATCTCTCTCTCTCTCTCTCTGTTATCAGATTCCGACGTAGTTGGTGGGAAAAATGGGTAGCAGCCAGGCAGCAGTTTCGTTCCTGACCAACATAGCCCGCGCCGCCTTTGGTTTGGGTATCGGCGCCACCGTCCTCAACTCCTCCCTCTACACCGTCGACGGAGGGCAGCGGGCTGTCCTCTTCGACCGCTTCCGCGGTGTCATCGACGACACCGTTGGAGAGGGTACTCACTTCCTCATCCCCTGGCTCCAGAAGCCCTTCATCTTTGACATCCGTACCCGCCCCCACACTTTCTCCTCCATCTCCGGCACCAAGGATCTCCAGATGGTCAACCTCACTCTCCGGGTCCTCTCCCGACCCGAGGTCCCCCGCCTCCCTATCATCTTTAAAACCCTTGGCCTCGAGTACGACGAGAAAGTGCTTCCCTCCATCGGCAACGAGGTCCTCAAGGCCGTTGTCGCCCAGTTCAACGCCGATCAGTTGCTCACCGAGAGGCCCCACGTCTCTGCTCTGGTTCGTGACAGCTTGGTTCGCCGCGCCAAGGACTTCAACATCGTGCTGGATGACGTCGCCATTACTCACTTGTCCTATGGGGCCGAGTTCTCCAAGGCCGTGGAGCAGAAGCAGGTGGCTCAACAGGAGGCTGAGCGCTCCAAGTTTGTGGTTATGAAGGCTGAGCAGGAGCGGAGGGCCGCCATCATCAGGGCTGAGGGTGAAAGTGAGGCTGCCAAGTTGATTTCTCAGGCAACTGAAGCTGCTGGGACTGGTTTGATTGAGCTCCGGAGAATTGAGGCTTCCAGGGAGAATGCTGCCACCTTGTCTAGGAGTGGGAACGTTTGGTACCTCCCCAAGGAAAACAACATGCTTCTGGGTCTCAATGCTGGCCGCTAGATTAGGTACTCTCACTAGCATTTTAGACACCTTAGCGTTCTCCCATATCTAGTTCATTAACATTTCAGGCTTCATGACTAGTGTATGTGTTATTTTCTGTGTTCTGTCTGTTGCCAAAATGCTCCCAAATTAAAATTTTAAGTTATTAGACAGAATAAAATGATTCAGGGATGTTTGAACTCCCCCCAAAAAGCTTTCTCTCTTCTTTGACGCATTTTGACCCCTTTTTTTGGCTGATTAATTTTGTGGAAGCACGCCCTTTATAGCAGAGTATGAAATTGTTAGAAATGCATTTTCTTGACAGTTCCCTGCTGTATCGGTTTGCCGGTCATGAACTTCACTTCCACTCTGAGATACAGGTGTGGGTTTGCTTTTGGCTATCCGAGCAGACTGAGGTCCAGCATGGTTATTGCTCATCTTGTTTGATACCATCAATCTCTTTGTTCACCTGAAGGTTGATATCTTGGTTTTAGGATCAATCCACTAAGGTTTGCTCGCAGTGGTATATGTAACTCTGATGCATTTGTCTATCTGTAAAAGTTGTTAAATCATAGTTTGCTTGAGAAAACTATCATGTTTTATTTTAAGGTATGTGGCAATTTGCTTTCAAGGTTTCTATGTCATTGGCCTGCTTTTGTTGCGATTGAAGTTTAGGAGTATGGTTTGTAGGGGTGTATTGTGGACCAAGCTTTCAAACCAAAAAAGTCTTCTTGTAATATGTCATCAACTCAACAACTTATTGCATCACGGAGCACCTTGCTGTTTTCTGCTTGTATATGTGCATGAATTGAACTGGTCTGAAAGCAACTTCAAGCTTATGCCCTTTGTCACACTGTTAACCAAATGGATTAATCAGAAGCAAAGGGAATTCTTTTCAGCTCTTTGGAGCTTTTGGATTTTTAATCCTGTTGAATTTTTACTTTGGCACAAATGGATTAGTCTACATGGGGCTGACATATAGTTGACCCATGGATGGTGGCTTGCTTCCTTCTTTTTCCATGTTCCATTTTGTAAACCATTTGGTTCTGCTCTGTCTGAGTTTGCCAATTTCGGTTCATAATTATAAGTATATCATGAAAGGTATCATTATCCTGTCTGATTGTCATTGTATTATCACAATTTCTAGTGCGTGTTTGGTATTGTTTTTCTGGCAAGATGTTTCAGTTGGGTTCAAATAATGTACTTGTGCATGTCAGGCTGTGTGTATATGGTGGCCAACAGAGAATAGATAAGAATCTTTTATCCTGTGAGAATGTATTTAATTCAGGTTCTAGCTTAAAAAGACATCTACTGGTGACATGAGCACACATACTACCAGTGTTGATATCTGTAGATGTGTGTGGTAGAATGTTTGATGCGTGTTGCAGACTTATTTGTATGCGTCTGTAAATCTTTTCTTTGACATCTTTTGATATTGTAATTTATATTCATTCTTATCCAGGAATCTTCCTCTTCTATCTGCATGGTCATGATTAGCATTGCCGATTAAGATATCCTTTGAAATGAAATTTAGCTGAATTCCTTGTTTACTTCTCTGCTTGCAGGGCTTGTGTGGTTGGAGTGGCTGTTCTCATATTTTGGCATCCTTAGTAGCTTTGTTTAAATATTTTTTAACAGCATTTTAATCTCTTAGTATAAGCAAACCCTGATCACTTTATGATCTTCATTTTATGGAGTTGCTGCTATGCATTCTTCTCTAATCCCTCCCTCCCCAGTGGTGAAGTAGTTTTGTCGACATGATGGAATTGTAATAGCAGAACTCTAGACATTCAAGTGCTCTGGTTTTGCAAAACCCATTTTGGGATGGAGGATATAATCCCATATTGAACGGGCTGCGGGGCGCTTAACGCTTTCCTGCCAAAGAATTTTTAACTCCTTTACCTGGCTTTGGATTGTTTGAGGCAAATACAAAAATGATGGATTGTTTATTTGACAAACAACTGAAAAAGGCGATGGCTGGGGAGAGATGGCTCCATATAACCTACTAACAAGTTACATTTTGTCAATTGCTAATCACGCTTTTACATATTACTATTCTATTGGCACATGTGAATGTTAGTTAATTCGCAAAATGTTTTTGTTTAGGTTTTTTTTTTTTTTGTGTGGTTATAACAAGTGCATTCTTGAATATTTGTCTTGTGAATGCACGATGATCTTAGTTAACCAAGGGGTGTGTGGATTCCGTTTATTGAAGCGTCTCTGGTAGCATGTACGACTTAATGTAAATTCGGTTCATTGTAAAGACTTGGAGTTTGGGACCCCTTAAGGTGAACGACAGGCATGAAGTGAGGAAACGGTTAAAGTTCTTCGTACCTGCAAAGTTCAATACGAACTGCAGAAGGTAGAGCCTGTCCAGGATTATAAGCTCTATACCCTCTTTTGCCGATGATTTAATGTCTCCCCTGAAGTTTACTGTAATTGCATGATGGTACTTGGTACAAAATAAAAATTTTTTTTAAAAAAAAAATCCATTCCTCAGAACTACACTGGACGCCTTTTGTTGATTTGTCAAAGACCAAGACTTCGATTAGCTTTTCTTGCTCCATTGTATGATCTTTATTTTTGTGTTCGATGTGTATCCTTCGTGTGTGCTTGGGGCATAAAGAGATGGGACACCAAGGGTTCTGCCTGATGGGTTCTGCACTTTTGTGGAGAAATTAGAGAGTTCCAAGGGTTGGTTTTTGCTTTTGTTTGGATTGTAATTTTTCGCATTTTCAATCAACTGTTTTGTTTCATATTATATTAAATTATTATAGTATATACTTTTATAAAAACTCTTAAAAATAACAATTCAAACGGGCATACTTGAGAAATGTCATGTCATGGAAACAAGGATGTCTCTCCAATTCTCTCATACCTCAGGGTTGTATGCGAAATTTCTCTCTCTAACCCCCTGCTTTTAGATATGTATTAATCCATATCCATACGCACACACATATATACCCCCATAAATGCCATAAAGCCTGATGCATTTATGGCTTTGAAATTGGAGTTGTTCAATCTTTACATCTGTAAGAACAAACGTTTTCGCCACGACGGGCCGACGATCGAGCATCTTAATTATCTGCAAGCGAATCCTCATAATTACCAGTACTGATTGTTTTTGGTCATCTTCCGGAGCAAGTAATTTATTTCAATCTTGATATATTGATTTAGTCACGACATCAAATAACGGTGTAGAGACCGTGGAAGAAATGGTTTAAGAGAAGGTATGGCTTTTATTTTCTCCCGACTTTTACGTATCAATCTCATAAAGATAAGCGGCGGTAATATATATTCAACTTCTTCCCAATTTGTCCACATCAATCTCATGGAGATAAGGCAGCCCCTGTTATTTATACGAGCAAAACTCAGATATTTCATCCCTACATTCTTCACTAGCCTCCATATAAAAACTGTCTTCGTCTAAGGTTTCGTTTGTTAAAATTGAATCTGAATTCTGAAACAATTAATTTGCTAAATTTTAAGTACTGAAAAAATATATGAATGTCTGAATTTTAATGCTAAACCTATTTATACTGTTTGATAAATATTTATAACTGAATGCTTAATAAGTTTAATTTGACAATTTTACCCTTATATCCTTTCATTCAAAAAAGAAATAGAATTATGATTTAATTAGTTTAAAATTGTTAGGTATGAAAATGGCAATATTTATTTTTAAACAAATTAATATAAAAGATGAAATATATTATATGAGAAGTATGGATAAGATGTGAAAGTCATTAAAAAGTGAGGAAAGAAAAACTAAAAATCGTTAGATAGAGAATATTATGTTGTTTAATTAGATAAGAATTTTGAACATAATTAACAAACACGGATAAATTTGATAAATAAGATAAGGTAATTGAAGTAATTCTATTAATTCTTATCAGAATTAAGCATTCAGTTAGGATTCTTGTGCTGAAAAAAATACACACAGATTCATCACTGCTTAATAAGTTCAGCAAATAGATTTTCATTTATCAAACATTCAGAACATCTGAATGTCTGAAAAAATTTAGATTCAACACTTTTTTATATTATCAAACAGACCGTAAATCGAATTGACGACCAGAAACTACGGGTAAACCCATCGCATTGAGCAATTTTAAGTAATCAAGAGGAGCGATAAACCGCGCAGCACATCAATTTACATGATCAGTTTCACTACTCCTCAACATCAGAAACCACCACCAACGGAGGATGCTGATTTTCTTGAACCCTAAGGGGCCTAGACTCGATGGCACCAAAACCAAAACACAAAACTGGTTTGAGAGTGCAAAACCGGCATTGCCGTGTGAATATTGACTTGAACGGTTAAACAAAGCGAAGCAAAATAAAAAACACCAAGACATGACCAAAAAGCAAAACAAAATAAGAGTCTCATCAGTGAAATTGGCAGAAGCAGTTCTTAACGCCGCAAAGCAGAAGATCCGACGCTGTGTGGACCAGACAAAATTGGTAAGAGTCTATACTCCCTAAACAAGACGCCATACTAAAGATGGAGAAACACTTCCATCAGAAATAGAAGCCGGAACAGCCTATTGACTTTTTGCCATGTGTCGAATCAAGTCAACAACACGGTTGCTGCAACCAAAAAAATTTTTAAAAAAATGTATTAACATTTTTATGTCCAAAATATGCAGAATGAGCAAATTAACGTAAGATGAGATGATGCAGGGATTCTTAGCGCATATCCAAAATAAAGCTAAAACACAATTCCAAATCCAAAAATAAATAAAATAAAACAATATATCTCAAATGTAAATGGATAGACTCACCTGTAACCCCATTCGTTATCATACCAAGAGACCACCTTCACAAAGTTGCCATTCAAAGCAATACCTGCCTTGGCATCGAAAATGCTTGACCTGTACAATGCAATCAATAGATGAAAAAGTTAGATCTCCAACCAGCACAAATAGGAAGCTAAGAATATATTTAGAAGCACTAGTGGCATAGTTGCAAAATAGTGGCAACAAACAGTGCATCCGGAAACTGAAAAGGGACAAATTCATGATATAAAATAGAATCAGCAGAAAGCAAGGCATTAAGGGAAAAGGGCCAAGAATTACCTGCTGTCACCAACGAAGTCACTGGACACAACATCATCCTCTGTGTAACCCAGGATTCCCTTCAAATTAGTCTCAGACTCCTCCCTTCAAAATAGAGTAATTAAGATTCAGTACATGTTCCTGCGCCCTTCTGGGTTTTTGTTCTTTTTTGAAGAGGGGGGGGGGGGTGGTGGTGGTGGTGGTGTGGGTGGGTGGGGAATTGATGCATGAGCTATAAAATTTCCCTTATTCTTACTTCATGGCAGCTTTGATTTCATCATATGTGGCAGCCTTCTCGAGCCTTGCAGTAAGATCAACCACAGAGACATCAACAGTTGGAACACGGAAAGACATCCCAGTAAGCTTTCCATTTAGAGCGGGTAGAACTTTTCCAACAGCCTGTACAGAAAGAGATTACATTAGTCAAGTTCTTAATGTCTGTAAGAACACCAGAGGCAATCTGAGTGGGAATTGCACCTCAAATTCCATAGTTTGTAATGCAATATTGACATTGAGTTGTTTAGACCCGGTTTAGCTAAATTTACTTTAAATGGTCAATTACAGATTTCTTAGGAGAAAACAGTATCACCATGATATGGTTGCTTCTCATAAACAGTTTTGCTTGTGGGGAAGTCAAAAAGCATGATCAAATGATGAACAGCCTTCTAGATAGAAATAATAACACAAAGGATGATGATGTAGATGACATATGCACAGACTTAATTATGCAAGAAGTATATGCATCGACCTATTGATATCAAAAATAGTAAGATAAGATTCTCAACAGTTGTGATTCAAACATTTATTCACAATGCTAATACCTTGGCGGCACCAGTACTGCTGGGAATAATGTTGAATGATGCAGCCCTGCCACCTCTCCAGTCCTTCATTGATGGACCATCCACAGTCTTTTGTGTGGCTGCATCACATCATGTAAGTTAGGCATCAATTGAATTCTTAACTGAAGAATAAGAACAGAACGGAATAAGCACAGTTGAGAATGACGTACCAGTTATGGAGTGCACTGTTGTCATAAGGCCCTCAACAATACCAAATCTATCATTAAGAACCTGCCAATGGTCACATCTGAAGCCATTAGTTTACAATTCATGGTCCCAAAGACTAAGAGGTGAGTGAACTGATACAACAAATTACTTTAGCCAAAGGAGCAAGACAGTTGGTTGTGCAACTGGCATTGGAGACAATATCAATATCAGGCTTGTAATCTTTCTCGTTCACACCTATGACAAACATTGGAGCGTCCTTACTTGGGGCAGAAATGATAACTTTCTTGGCACCTCCCTGACAGACATGGATAAAGAATATTCAACACAGAATCTCTTTAAATAAACAAAAATAGGATATCTGAGAGAATAATCTAATTGACTTATAGACAATCTTGCTTTAAATGATCAATTTAGAAAGAAAACACTACCTTCAAGTGGGCAGCAGCTTTGTCCTTGTCAGTAAAGACTCCAGTGGATTCAACAACAAAGTCAGCTCCAGCCTCACCCCATGGAATCTCCTCTGGGTTCCTGGTCATTGGTCCGAAAGGAACTATAAGATACTATAGGACTCGCATGTTTCAAGGAACAAACATGTGGGTTCGAATAAGAATGTACCTGCTGCCAAAGACAGTGACAGGCTTGTCACCAAAGAGAATGGTCTTAGAATCCTGGACCTTGAGCTCATGCTTTTTGTATTGGCCGTGAACAGTATCGTATTTGAACATGTAGATCTAAAGTGGGGAAGGAAAAAATACAATCAAACGGAAATCAAAATCCTGTTAGCACGCATTACAAAAGGCACCAAAAGCAGATCAGGCACTCAAGCAAAAGGATATAAGATAAAACGAACCATCCACCCCAAGGATTTAAAAACAGTTGCATACA